CCACTCGTGTCCTTTTCCGTTGCCAGATTGCTTTGCAGTTAGTTGTCATGTCTCCTGATAATCTCCAATTGGTGACATTTCTGTTGTCTTTTCTTTGTCTATCAGCTAGACATTTGAGTCGCTCTGCTCTGCTCTCTCTTCTCTTCTCTTGTATGGTCCTGGGGATTGAACTCGGTGCCTTTCCACTGAGCCCTGTTTATTTATTTTGAGCTGGGATCTGCCTAAGTTACTTAAGTTTCTCTAGGCTGTGGTTGAACTTGGAATCCTCCTGCCTCAGCCTCGCAAAGTGCTGTGGTCACAGGCATGTGCTGTCAAGCCTAGTTTGTTTTTATTGTTTGACTCATTTGTACTTGTTTTGTTTGTTCCCGTTTCTCTTGAATATGTACCTAGAAATGGAATTGCTGGGTCACATATGCCTCTTCCTCTCTCATTCTTTCAGGAGAATCAGTGGCCCGTCTCTGTAAGAACAGAGGGAAGCAGGGGGGTCTTTGTAGTACTGGAGAGACAGGGTGGGGCAGTTGGGGTAGCTGCAGTGGGTGTGGTGGCATTGTCCTCAGGTTTTTTTGTTTAATTTCCTGGAGGTTTGTTGTTGGTTTGTTTGTTTTGTTTTGGTTCTGGGGATCCAACTCATGACCTGTGCTTGCCAGGCAGGTGCTCAGGCCACTGAGCTAAATCCCCAGCCCTGAGGTTTTTTTTTTTTTTAATCTGGTAAGAGTTGAATTTTTTTTCTGGTTTGTTTTATCTTGTTTATGGCTTGTAGTGTTTTTGCTACCCTGAAGTTTAATTTTAGGAAGTCATAAAGTCTTAACAATTTTTTGTGACTTGAAGGTTTCATCATCACCTTCCCATTCTTCTGTAGGTATTGCTTCCTTGTCTTTTTTTCAGTACTAAAGGTTGAACCTAGGGCCTTCCCACTGAGCCCTTTATTATTTTGAGGCGGGATCTGGCCAAGTCACTGAATTGCTCAGGCTGAGCTTGAACTAGCAGCCCTGTTGCCTCAGCCTCTCAGAGGGCAGGGTTACAGGCATGTATCACCAAGCCTGGTGTTTGTCTCTTACTTGGTTTCATTTGAAATTCATCTAGCTCATGATGGATGGCTTAGGTATAGAATGACCTTCCTCAGGCAGCACAGCAGAGAACCTTGTGTATGTGCTGTTAATATCTTTTTCACACAGGTTTGCTAGAAAATAAGCTTGGAGAAAATAGAGTTGTTTTTGGTACCTTGCCCCACTGCCAGCACCTAAGAATAGCAACTGGCTTAGATAGAGAAGGGGCTCCGCAAACATTTGTTGACTGAATCAACAACAAAAAGTCTTGAGTGGAATCAGAGTTTCTAAGTATTTGTAACAAAGCACAAGCACCTGCCTGGCAGGCGCCAGGTCCTGAGTCCAATTCCTGGTACCAAAACGTAAAAATAAAGTTGTCAGCTTGCCCTCCATGAAGGCAGTTACAAGGTATGCACTCATCAGCAAGACAGGGAGTGCAGTGGGTAACTCTGTTCACCCTTCAGTTCACTTCAGCCTGGGCCAAGACTTCTGCTGCTGCAGGAGATGTGCTGTCCTTGTGGAGTTCACTTCCATGTGGCCACATTCAACAATCACTTCTCTGCCACTTTACCGAACATCTCAGCAGGCTTTGTCATTTGTTCCCTGAAACATTCCTGTTGCAATTGATGACAGCTGTTATTTGTTTGGTACTCATGGGATGCTGGTCAGAGAAGACACTTGATGCTTTCAGACCATCTTAGTCACTTTCCCATCAGTGGGACAAAATTCTCAGCACCCACAATTTAAAGGAGGAAGAGGTTACCATGGTTCACAGTTTCAGAGGGCCTGAGGCGGGAATGGCATGATGGAAAGGCCATGGCAGAGGAAAGCTGCTCAATTCAAGGTGGTTTGGAAGCAGAGAGGGAAGGTAGGAGCTGAGGAAGGGGACACAGCCTTCCAGGTCACACCCAGTGACTTGCCTCCTACCAGCCCACTCCCTAACAGCATATTCATCTGTGAACTTTTGAATAGATTAATCCACTAGTGATGACTATAGAATCCACGATCCACTCCCCTTCCAAAAAAGCTCCATTTTTGAACACATGAGACTTTGGAGGACATTTTAGATCTGAACTGCAAAGCACACTCACAGCACCACACAGCAGTCATAAGGAAGTATGACTCTCCCTGGGGATATTGAATGGTCCCGGTGCTGTTGCTGGGTGTGACACCTCTCCTGGACATACTTTTTGATTGTCTAGGTGACTAGGAAACAGGGTCGTGGCTCTCAGTAGGGCATAGTTGGTTTGGTGAGAGCAGGCATGACTCAGATGTATCGTGTGATCGGGAGCAGGAACTCGGTGCCGTGAGTGTTGTCCTGACTTATGAGTCAGCTTAGTTTAGAAGCGGGGCCTTTCCTGTTTCTCATCCTGATGCTGTATAGAAATTTAGGGGTTTGTTTCAGCCATCTCACCTGGTCATCTTAGTCATGGCACAGTGATACTCAAGTAAACTTACCAGTGCTCATCCCCACCAGCTGGGCGAAACCTGTGTCATCATGGAGTGTGCATGTGAGCTGTCCAAGCACAGGGTCCTGCTTGAAGCCCATTGTCGACCTGGACCTCCTTGTTTTAGGCTTCTCCGGTGTCCCCTTTGGGATTGGCCTTGCCAGCTTGCTTGTGGAAGCATCTGGGTCAGGATATTTTTAGCTCACAAAGCACTGGTAGTTGGGACAGTCAGGTGCTGGAGTCCATTAATAGCCCTGTCGGGGAGGTAAGGGGAGGCATCCAAGAGGGCAGCGGCTGCCTAACTGGGTCAGGCCTATTGTCACCCGGAAGCCGGCTGCCTCCATAGATGAGGATTTGGCAAAAGGTGCTTTCTCCTTCTGCCCTGGTAGTCGAGGACATTCCTGGATGAGGTCCTCTGTTGGAGCACACCGCCCTCTCCACAGCCTGTCCACATACAGCCCTTATCACCTTTGCTGGGGTGGCAGGGGGTGGGTATAAGTTCAGGAGTTTACCCTTCCATATGCATTTTATTTTTCCCTTGAAATTTAAAATAGACCTCTTCCCTTACTATGGTGGTCTCTGTTTTGGTGAGTAAGTTGTTTGCTATGATTTAAGTTGTTTATTACTGTAGATTTAATGTGGGTGTGGGGCAGGAAGGCTTGGAGCCGAGGAGTTAAATATATAATTATTTTATTTATACTTTATTTCCTACCGTATACATCTAGAGTAATAATGACAGAATAAATCACAAATGGCTATTAAATATGTCTAGAAATTATTTGAAAGTTATTTCTGGCTTTGAAAATATAAGGTAATATTTGTAACAGGTTAGTTGAGGACTGACTGAAAGTGTCAATAACTTGCTAAGAAAAAACTAACTTGCTATTTCTGGTAAGAAAATTAAATGCATAACTTAATTGAATTTACTAAACAACTAGGAATGGAAGTAGAGTCTCATTGTGAAATACAGGCTGGCTTTGAACTTACTATGCAGCTTAGGCTGGCTTTGAACTCATGATGATACTCCTAGCTCAGCCTTCTGAGTGCTGGGAAACAAACATGCACCACCATACCTAGCCAAGGGAACAGTTTATCATAATTAAATACATGATTACTTTATAATTAAATAAATGATTGATTTAATGGCATCTTACTTGAAATATTTAACACGACTTGGTATATACTTCATCTTTCTGAACTATACTGTCTTTGTAAAGGGACATAATAAAAGTGGTGAGAAATTAATTTTCCTGAAAGCTGCCCCATATTAAATGGCCTATTTTTCTTAAGAATTAGGAAAAAAAAAAAAAAAAAAAACAGGGCAGGACATTGGTACATGCTTGTAATCTGAACACTCCTGGAGGCTGAGATAGGAGGATTTAGTTCAGACTTAGCCTGTGACAGTTTAGCAACTTAGCCAAGGTCCCCCCCCCACCCCACGCACACACACAAAAAGCTGGAGATGTAGCTCAGTGCAAAGGCCTGGTTTCAATTCTGGTCCCTTAAAAATAAAAGTATGTATTAAAATTTTAATATGTATTAAGTATATATGGGCTTGGTGATACATGTCTGTATCCCAGCATGCAGGAGGCTGAGACAGGAGGATTGCCTTGTGTTTGAGACCAGTCTGAGCTAGTGAGTTCAAAGTCAGCCTCAGCTACGTAGTGAGACCCTGTCTCAAAAAAATATTTTAAGCCAGGCATCCCAGCACTCAGGAGGCTGAGGCAGGAGGATTACCGTGAGTTGGAGGCCAACCTGAACAGTAGAATGAGACCCTGTCTCAAAAAAAAAAAAAAAGTATTTCATAACGTCTTGCTAAGTAATTAACTGCCCATGGCATCCTTAAATTTGCAGTTCTTCCTCAGTCTTCCAGTGGGCTTGCATGACAGGTGTTTGCTGCCACACTTGGTTTATGCTTTGCATTTCTGTCACTTTTGGGGGAGCATACTAATAATGAACCCAGAGCCTTCACACTGAGCTGTAACCCCAGCCTTGTTTTTTACTTATTATTCTTGAGACAAAGTTTTGCTAAGCAGCTATATTACCCAGTCTGGGCTGTAATTTATGATTGTCCTGCATCCCATAATGCTTGGATTACAGATATGCTTAGCTTTATATCATTTTATAATATTCAAGTATATTTTTATCAGTTAATTATAGTTATGATCACATACCTGTCTTTAAAATTTTTGAGCATGCCCCACAATTATACACCCTCATAAGCTATTTTGGTTTTGGGTTAAAGATTTCTCTACCAAGAATCTCTACCAAGGATTCCTAGGTTATGACAGAAGACAGGGTGACACTTATTTCTTAGAGATGGTAATGAAAAGATCAGCATGCTATTAATGCAGTTTCCTAAAAATAAAAGCAGACTAGAGGTTGCGCACAGCAATAGAGGGCTTGCCTAGTATGTGCTTAGCCCTGGTGAGTTCAGTTCAATCCAGAACCACACTCTGACACCTCTGTCTTTGCTGTAGAGTTTTAATTTAATTATCTTTTCCAGGTTCATATTGAGATCCACTGAAGGCCATCCCCTCCCTACAGAGGCGTCACCCTAGGCTCATCACCTCAAAGAACAGAAAGCATGAGGGACGGAAGAGGGACCCTTGGCACCTGCATGGCCAAAGCAGAGGGGAAGGGAGGAGAGGACTGGGACAGACTGTCACTCAGCCTCAAGAGGAGCACGCAGGAGGGGAGCACGTGGCCTGCAGATTCCCCTTCCCAGCTAAACACGCCTGCAGTTGACAGAAATGGAAACACACAGAGTGAGGCGCTGTCCTCGAAAACGAAAGATAGTCTGAGCGAGACTGGCCTCCTGCCTCCCACTGGTGACAGGGCACTTTTGTATTTGAAGGGATCCATGGGAAGAAATTCAGCCCTGGCAGTGGTTCCCAGTAAGGTTGTGGATCCGTCCCAGGTCCTTGCATCTGTCCCTGTGAGAGAGTGCCTTGCCGCGCTGTCCCATGTCATCAAGGAAGCTGTGCAGAGGAACTGGCCAGGAAGAGGCCCAGGAGCTATGGACAGCCACAGAGGACAGTGCTCCAGCAGAAGGGCCTGGGTGTCAGCGCCACCAGGCTGCTCGCAACTGTGGGAAGTGAGAGTTTCTGAGGATGAGCCGGTGAGGGCTGTTCCTGAGGGGCCAGACTCTGAGTTAGAACTGTCCTGCCTGTGTTTCCTGCTGCCCCATTCACTGCACGCCCATCCTCGAAGCCTCCTAAAGGATGAGACACAGTGTGACCATCTCGACCAGCTAATGCCTGTGCTTTCAGAGCAGATAACACAATACAGGAACATGCTCTCAAGTATAAATTGTACCTCAAATAGTCTTCAGATAACATTGGGGTTGTTGGCTGTATGACCTTTGACATTAGCAAATCCAACAGGCCATAGTTAAGGTACAAGCAGAACAATAAAAATAGTATCTTAATTTTAAAGTTGTCTTAGAATGATTTTTTTGCATTAAGTCTGGATGCAAACAGTGCAGTCATTCAGTTCCTGCTTTGGTTTGTACAGCTAGACAAACTTTCTAAGTCGAGTATAAACTTGCTAAAAGCTAGGTAATGCAGCAGGAAATTTTTGAGCATGTTTTAAATTGTGCTTGTAAGACAAGAATCGGGAAACCCTTTCAGGAGATTATTGATTTATCCAGTATAATTTCAGCTGAGAACATGGCTTACCACGAAGTTCTTTGTCTCTAGTACCTAATCTAAAGGGCTACTGTCCCAGATACTGTCTGTCTCTTCAGCTGTCCTGTCACCAAATGGAAGTGGATCTTTGTAAAGTTTACCCGCTGTACTTTTATGAAGCCTTGCTGAGTTCATGGTGAGCTGTTACTATTTCTGCGTTTTGTAGATTAATTTTGGTCTGCAGAAAAATTTGGTTTCTTACACTTCTTTCTACTTGAAATGGAGTTTCAATGGAGGCCCTATGGTGAAAGTTGCAATATTAAATTTAGAATAATTTTCTCAAACTAGGATTCCTAGCAGTGTTACCCTAAGTAAAAAGGAGCTTGACTCTGCTGTAGCTCAGCTATAGAGAGGCAGATAAAGTATTTTCCCTTACAAAAGTTCCCAGGTCCAAGGAGTGGAGATCTTTTTTTACACTAAGACTTTTCTGAAGTAACTTGTTGATAACTTTAATAAAGGCCACTTAAGAGTGTTGTTTTTTAAGGATTCCCAAAGTGAAGCTAAAAATAGTCATTTTGGGAATGATTGCATATATCAATTTGTATTATGTGTTAAATTACTATGCCATGTGCTATTTTAGTGTTTTGGTAAAATGGAGAATTAAAATCTGTTCTTTAGCATAATAAATATGTCTTATTTTGACATGTGTACTCTTGGTTCTTGTCTTTATTAATGTTGTCATCTTCATAATATTTTTTTTGGTGGGAGGGCACAATACTGAGGATTGAATCTGGGATCTTTACACTGAGCTACACCCCCAGCCCTTTCTTGGGTCAGTGTTCCTCTGTTGCCCAGGTGGGACTTGAGTTTTTGATCCTCCTGCCTCAGCCTCCCAAATTACTAGAGCTGTAATCATGCACCACTGTGCCCAAGCTTGGAAAGCAAAATGTGCTAGGTATACGCAGACTACATAGTGAGATGAGGGGCAGGCTGCAGTATATAGACCCTATCTTGAGAAGACCAAAAAGAAACCAGATGTCAGGCTGGAGGGGACACCCCTGCCTTCCTCCCGGGGTGAAGTTGAGGTGCTGCACTCCTGGGGGTGGGCTGCTGGGTGCCCTCGCAGAACAGCTGCTTCCTGCCCGGCCAGATGACCCCATCTCAATTGGGCAATCTCCTTCCTGGTGTCACTGGGGATTATGAAATGAGATGGGGACACAGATGTTTAAGAACGGGAACTGGTTTCTTGTCAGACTCCTTTTACACTCCCCACCCCCACTTTGGGATGGAAGTTTCCATGAAGTGTGAACTCTTACTTCTTTTGTAAATTGCAAGTATAGTCTATAAATGTTGAACTCATTGCTAAGAAAAAGTATGGAATTCCCTGTTTGTACCAGATGTTGGGAAATGTAAACTATTTCCATATGGTTATTTTAGAAGAATGTATGAGTTTCCTAAAGGTGATCTTGAGAGAGAATTCACATTTTTTTTCTTCCCAATTGTTTTGTGCAGATAGGGTGAGTTTTCCCCTTTGATGTTGGCTTGGTTTCCTGTCTAAGGATGCCCTCTCGTACAGAATTCTAGGTGTTAGGTTATTCTGGTGCAACAGAGAAGCAAAAGTACAAAGTGAATGGGTTTATTGAGTTGATGTAGAAAGGAGCACACAGCCCATGGCAGTTTGATCTGTCTCCTTCCACCAGATCCAGAGAGGCAGAGGGATATGACCTCTGATCAGAAGTGGTGCATAGGGCAGGCATTGATGACGTGTGAAGAACCGATGGAATTCTCTGTGATGGAATTCTCAGGAAGGGGAGTTGCAGTTAAGGGTTGAAGGAGAAGCAGGAACTGGTAAGTGCTCCTGCTTTGGCCTTCCGCCACGTTAGACCACTGCCATAATCGTACAGTAATTTATATTAGGGCAAGAACCTTTCACTAGGGAGAAACATGGTACCCTCACCTGTAAAGTTTTATGACTGCAAAAGAAGGCACACATTTCTGAGGTAATTGGTAGAGAAAGATATTCCTTTTTGTGTGTGTGTCTTTTTGAGACAAGTCTTGCTTATGCAGTTCAGGCTGGCCTTGAGCTCACTGAGAGATATTCTTAAACTTGGCCTGATGATTCATACATGTAATCCCAGCACCTGGGTGGCTGAAGCGGAAGGATTTCAGCAAATCTCAGGCCAGCTGGGCTATGTTACAAAACCTCATGTCCTTAATCCAAAACCAAAATAAACAAACCTTCAGGTAAATATCCATAATTGAATTATAAAAGAAGTGACTTACTTTAAAAGAACAATAGTTCTTAGATTTATGTGCTTCCCACCATTGTGCCCTTAACGGTTGAACAGCACGCTCAAATTTAGAAACAATGCTTAATACAAAGTATTGGTTATCACATTTGGAAATTTTTGTTTTGGACATGATATTGAATGATGAAGTCTAGAAATCACAGAAGTTACAAACCTGTGGTGAGAAAAAAGTACATTAGGAAATTTGTATTAGCTGGGCATGGTGGTATACACCTGTAATCTCAGCACTTGGGAGGCTGAGGCAGAGAGGTTGCTGTGAGTTCAAGGCCAGCCTGGACTACAAAATGAGTTCAAGATCAGCCTTAACTACATATTGAAACTTTCAAAAAGACAAAATTTGTTTTGGATTTAAATAGAACATTGTTATATGACCATTGATTTTATAAATAGGGTATGAAACAATTTAATGGAAGTCTGTGCATTCTGAAATTCAGATACTGCTATCAAGGTTAAACTCGACTCGTTTGTACATAAATGGATGCACTTTGAGACTATAATGTTAAAGAAATCAGAAATATGACATGGTTTCTCTTACATGAGAAACCCAAAGTATAAATAAAGAACAAAACAAAAGATACTAGGAAATGGAGGTAAATCTTTTGCAAATACAAAGGGGACTAAGACAGGAAGGGAAGTGCAGGGAAGAAGAAAAAGCATCAAGGCATGTCACCAACTCCCTGCACTGAATGTCCCAGTCATGTTCAAACATGGGCTAGAAATCTTCAAAGACCATTTGCCACGATCTGACAAAATGAGAAACGTGCTGTAGAATTTTTATGTATTTCATTGATAATTGGTAAATTCTTTTAAAACATTCTGAGCAGAAAAAACAAAAGGCTCCTCATGAACCACGTTTGTGAATGCAGAGCTGAGTGCTGCTCTCCCATGTTGCAAGTACCTCTACCAGAGTGGTCGGTGACCATCTGTCCAGTGAAACACCACGCTGGCAGCTTAAGTTCTAACTCTTACACACGAGCTGCTTGCATTTGACTCCCCTTGACTTCCAATTTTTTATTAACCATTTTTGTTTTTTTCATAACTAATGCTGGGTGTAGTGGTGCACATCTGTAATCCCAGTGCTCTGGGAGGCTCCAGCAGGAGGATGCTAAATTCAATCCCAGCCTCTATCTAGCAAGACCTTGTTTATAAAAAAAAAAAAAGGGCTGGGTATGTAGCTCTGGGTGAAGTCCTTGGGTTCAGTCCCCAGTGCTGGAAATAACAAAACAACTGATGAGATCAATTAAAGGGGCATCTGTTTTCCCTTTTCAAGTCCTCACTGTTCATTGAGAGCTATGTTGTAATTTTATAATGAAAAACTTGGAAAAGGTTATTTCCTAAGTGCTTTCTTAGAAAAGATAAACTTCAGAAGATCAACTTGTCCTTTTTTTTTTTAAATTTTAATTAAGGAGAAAAAAAAAACCCAAAAAGGGTACAAGTTATACAGAATTTCAAAAAAAAAAAATAAACAGTAGGAAATCACTCATTAATAGATTACATATTGTCATTTTAGAAATAGTTGTTCCGGGGCTGGGGATTTAGCTCAGTGGCATAAGTGCCTGCCCTGCAAGCAGGTAGTCGTGGGTTCGATCCCTGGTACCGATAAAAAGGAAAAAGACAAAAAAAAAAAAATAGTTGTTCAAATTACAAAATTAAAGCATATAAAGTGGACATTCAAACAGTGAGACTGCAAACAGTTGTGTTCAATGATCCAACAAAAACTCAGTAATATGGTTATCTATCTTATACACTTAAATATACATGCAGTTATATCCTTTAGAGCACTTTCTTCTCTTTTGTACAATGACAATTACACATTTTGGGTTTTATTACTGCCACAGTTCTTACTACTTTTTTTTTGAAGAGAATAAAACCAAATGTGACATAACAAATCAGAGTCAGTCAAACCAAAAGGATGGACGTAGTACATAATGTAAAAACAGAATACAAGGTGATCAACAATGGTTACCATAAAGCCCCTTGCTATCTTAAAAAGAATTGCCTATATCATCAGTTATAATAAAATTGAACAAAACAGTGAAGAACAAAACCAATAAAACTAAAACATTGGAGACATTACAGGACTTCAAAAGAAACTAATAGTCAAACCAGAATGGGCATCATAGTGAATCTTATTGTCTTCACAGTTGTTACCTATACTCTCAAACTTGGTAATATCAAGCAAAACAGAATGGAGTAAAATCAGTCAAAACAAGATGGTGAGAGCAATACAGGGTTTCAAATCAAGTTAATAGGAAATCAAAGTGTGTTACTATAATATATCCTGCTATTTTTATTTTTTCCCTTAATTAAAAAGATAAAAATTAAAAAAAAATAAAAAAGGAGATTGAGATAAAAGAGGACATAACAACAAAACAGCACAGGTCAAAAAAAAAAAAAAACAGCACAGGTCAGAACATAACCATTTAAGCAAAATAGTGTTTCACTACTACATATCCCGACATAAAAGTAGTTATCAGAGTGTGTCTTTCCTTGAAATCTTTGAGTATAACTTCGTATATTACAGTATCAAACCTATCAATACAATGTAAAACCATTCAAGAGAATGACAGTATTTTTTTTTCTTTTTTCTTTTTTCCGGTACCGGGGATCGAACTCATGACCACCTGCTTGCAAGGCAGGTACTTATGCCGCTGAGCTAAATCCCCAGCCCTGAGAATGACAGTATTACAGGATATTTAGAACCAACTAACAGAAAATGAACAATGGTTTCTGTATTATTTCCTTGTCTATAAAAGTTTTTGTTTATATTATCACATATAATAAAATCCAATAAGATACAACCTGTTAAGACCCATGGAGACAGAAGAACAAAAGCTTGATGGGACTTCAAAACAAGATGATATTAAATCAGCACTAGCTATTATGATGTCTTGTTTTCTCCAAAATAGCTGTTCATACCATCCAATCTTCTCTGCCTCATTTCTGTTGAGCTCTTTTTCTGTCATTAGTTGTCAGTTTGTCCTCTTCATTTCGCTTTCTGCTCTATTCATTGTGGCCTCTCTGCCACTGTTTCTGGGATCTTGGTATTTTTCTTTTTCAGAATGTCCTGCAGTATTCTCTGTAGAGTTGGATTGGTGGCTGCAAATTCCCCTAGTTCCTCTTTATCCTGGAAGCACCTTGTTTTTCTATCAATTTCTAGGGATAGTTGTACAGGATATATCAATCTTGGCTGGAAGTTATTGTCTTTCAAAGCTTGAATTATTTCGCTCCATGCTCTTCGTGATTTGATGGTTTGTGCCAAGAAGTCTGCTGTAATTCTGATGGGTGTTCCCTTGTAAGTGATCTGTTTCTTGTCTCTGACAGCTTTTAATATTCTGTTCTTATATTGGATTTCTGGAATTTTGATTATTATATGCCTGGGTGTAGTTCTGT